TAGCATAAGTATCTTTGGGTTAAATGAGTAATGTCTAATAATTTGTTGATCTAAGCAAAAAACAAAAGAAGGTGTAAAAAACAGAAATTTCAGAATTAAATTAGTGTGGGACCACACTTTTTACCCCTTTGATTCCTTTATAAAAAAACAAATGAGAGAAGAAAAAGAAGAACATATAAAACAGCTTTGAAACTGAAAGTAAGATAACGATTTGTTCCTCTTTGATTTGATGGTCCCTTCCTCGTTCTTCTACCTCCAAATCGATTTTTTTTTCCTTTTGTTTGTTTGTTCTGGTTTGTGCCCCAATGTTTGTCATTTGTTCACTAAAATATTTAGGGTTCTTATGATCTCACATAATCCGTAAATTATATCGAGGCTTTGAGCTCTCTATTTCACTACGTTTCTAGATCTTGATTTCTGAGTTTCTCTTATTCATTTCCTATGAATTTCTACCTAATTTATGACTGATTATTATGGAACATCAAAGATTTTGAGTGTTAGGTCCTTCATTGAAAATGTGTTTGGACTTGAAGTGATATACAAAATAATTAAATCAATCTAGTCGTTGCTAATTGACTTTTGAATTGGAAACTCATAAAAATTTAATATTTATTGATTTTCTGATGATATATGGTCATAAATAATTGTCAGATATCATCACTATGTTCTCTGTATACGGCCTCTGCTTCTTTCCCAAGTGTTTGTGATTTACTTTTGGTTGTTGCGATGTTAATTGTGGGGTCGAACTTCTTAATTGAAGATAATATGTTTTGAAAAACGGTTGAAACATGAATATATGTTTACTTTTAGATTATGTCGGAGTCGGAGTCGGAATCGAAGTTGAACTTTGGGGACAAAGTTATAGTGTGTGACAATGGAACTGGAATGGTCAAGGTAAGGAGAAAATTAAAACGTATTTTCAAACGTAATTTATGCATTTGCATGGAAAAAAAAATCGCATTTTTGAAATAAACAATATTTTCAGTTTGTTTTTTTTTGTTTTGAGAAAACAATTTTCAATGTGACAACGAAAACGGGTAAAAAACCTTTTGTATATGCTCGTTTACGTTTATAATTATAACAAAAAAAATAATTTTCTTAAAATAATCCCGGTTGTGCATTGATTTAGAAAAAATATTTTTTTATTTTTGGTCAAAGAAAAAAAAAATATACACTAAATGTATAGTAAACGCAAACAGACAATCAATTGATTTCGACCACAAAAAAAAAACAATCAATTGATACTATGAAACAAGATCGTAGATGTAATGATTGGTGTATAACATTTTTGAAGGCAGGACTGGCTGGAGATGATGCTCCATTGGCTATATTTCCAAGTATTGTGGGTCGTCCTAGGCACAAGAGTGTGATGATGATGAATGAGAAACAAGTTTATGTGGGAGCCGAAGCTCAAGCCAAGAGAGGTATACTTTCTCTTAAATACCCAATCGAGCATGGTATTGTTAACAATTGGGAGGACATGGAGCTGATTTGGAATCACACTTTCTGCAACGAGCTGCGTATGGATCCTGCTGAATATCCTGTGCTTCTCACTGAAGCTCCTCTAAACCCAAAGGCCAATCGCGAGAAGATGACTCAGATCATGTTTGAGAGCTTCGCTACCCCTTCTATGTACGTTGCTATTCAGGCCGTTCTCTCTCTCTATGCTAGTGGTCGTACCACAGGTAGCCACACAACTTTTAACTTCACAATTCATTAATATATGTTAGGTAATTATTATGTTTTGTTAAAATTAAAGTATAAAAAACAACCAAGTGGATCTTAGTCTAATGGTTCTTGGTTTAGTGGTTTTTGAGTCTATTCAAGGTCAATAGTTCAAATCCATTGCAATAAGTGATTTACGCTTTAAAACAATAATGTCAACGGTTGGCTGCATTTGTGATAATGAATCTTTAATTTAATCTGTTAAATTTATGCGTGTTTAGGCATAGTGTTGGATTCAGGAGATGGTGTGAGCCACACAGTTCCAATCTACGAAGGTTACGCACTCCCACACGCGATCTTGCGTCTAAACCTAGCAGGCCGTGACCTAACCGACTACCTCATGAAAATAATGACGGAACGTGGCTACACATACACCACATCAGCCGAACGTGAGATCATCAGAGACATCAAAGAGAAACTTTGTTACGTAGCTCTGGACTACGAGCAAGAGCTGGAGAAGGCTAGTGGGAGCTCGGCAATCGATAAATCCTACGAGCTTCCCGATGGTCAAGTGGTGACGATAGGAGACGAGAGATTTAGGTGCCCTGAGGTTCTTTTCCAACCATCTATGGTCGGAATGGAAACTTGTGGTATACACGAGACGCTTTACAATTCGATCATGAAGTGTGATGTTGATATAAAGAAGGCCTTGTATGGAAACATAGTGTTGAGTGGTGGCACGACCATGTTCAAAGGGATTGGTGACAGGATGAACAAAGAGATCACTGCGCTTGCACCGGCTAGTATGAAGATTAAAGTTGCGGTTCCTGCCGAGAGGAGGTATAGTGTTTGGGTGGGAGGCTCCATTTTGTCTTCTTTAAGTACCTTTCAACAGGTAAAAATAAGATTTATATATATATAATAAGGTTTTTATGTTTAATGTGAATTTTTTTTTTTTTTGGGCTTGTTGTAATGTGAAGTTGTTATGTCTAATATATATGCAGATGTGGATAACTAAGGCTGATTATGACGAACATGGACCGGCGATTGTTCACAAGAAATGCTTCTAAGTTTCTTCTTGTGTCTTTGTGTCTCTCTTCTTTAGTGTTTTGCTTTTGGTCAAATAAATTATGTTGTTTTCTTGTTGATGAACATTATAATTAGTCCCGATGACTAACTATTCTTGCGATTGTGTGTGTGTGTTGATTATTGTTAATTTAATCCCATCTTTAAGTCTAATTTTTTTTTCCGCTTATTAAAGATCTCATTCAATTATTTAGTTCAATCTTGTGGACAAAAATAGGAAAAATTGTGTTAAACACTAAAAAGCAACACGAGAATAATTAATACAAACGAATGTAATAAAATGAATTATATAAAAAAAAAACACACACACATAAAGTTGCATAAGCTTAAACGACGTCGTTGATGAGACGTCTGTGTCTATTATAATGCTTCTCAATGAAAACTCTTGAAGCTCCTTCCATTGTTTTACGCCATGTCTGAACATAAATGAGCAGAGTAAAGAAAACAAATTGTTTTAAAGAACCAAAAAGAAAAAAGAAATTTTTTAATTTGATGCTTATTCTTGGATTTGATATTTACCTTGCCGATTGTTCTAACCAGAGACTTGTTTCTGAGATGTGATTTACCAGAAGCAATCTGCCGGAGAAACAGAGAACGCCGTTTACTCGCCGGAGCAAGCAAGAGTCTTTTCCTCTCCACCAAACCAATAGTGTTACTTTCGGTGTCAATAACACTGTTGTCTCGTGAATTAGTAGCTGATTTCCTCCGTCGCTTCGTTGACTTTGGCTCGTCGACGTCGGGATCGGCGAACTTACGGAGCAACTCGTCGGAGGATTTCTTGTTCACGTGTTGGATTTGAGTCGGATTAGTCTCTGTGTACACAACAAGATCCATC